TGAAACGACAAGTTGTCATTTAAGAAGTTAATAAACAGTCTCCGTTTTGCAGGTTGTCCAAATGCTACTGAATAGAAAACCTTGGATCCCTAAATGATGTGTAATTAAAATTATTTTTAAAATCCTCCTTGACAGGCCGAGGCTTAGCCAAAATGTAAATGACATTAAAGAAGACAATGAATTTAATTTTATTTAATGTCCCTTTTTGCAGATCCTCATTTACATAGCATTTTTAACAAAAGCGTTGACCTTATAAATGCTGGCATTTGTACAGCTTCGGCGGAGTTGGATTTAATCACGCTCGTGCAAAGCCATGAGGGAGGAAGCTTTAAGTTCTCTGCTTGGAGATGGAGTAGGAATAAAAACATTGGGACTGGTCAAATGTTTATCCTCCCCGCTTCTGAAAACAACCTGACAAGAAGATGTAAAGGGCGAGGGAATAACCCGGTGCTGTTTGTAAGGCTTGGTAATAATCATACATAATCGTTTGGAAATATAGCTAATAAAAAATATAATGAGTGTTCAGCAAAATCGGCATTAGGCCCAAATTACATGATATTAATACTTGAACAGGTGCAGAAAGGCGCTTTAAATGAGGTAAATGAATAAAATGTCCCAGAGCACAACTGTGTGTGCTGACAAAAAGTCAATCCCATGAATAATTCAGCGAGCGGGACTGCCAGCAAAGGTCGGCTCTCTTTGACCTTTGTGACAGGAAGTGAAAGGAAACACTGTTGACTAAAAAAAAAAGAGAGAGAGAGAAAGAGAGAGACATAGAGACAGAGAGAGAGGAAAGAAAAAAGAGAGAAAAAGAAAACCTCCAATAGGTCTTGGGCTACCGTTCTGCAACCACTTTAAAGGTGTAAACTTAAAACGCACAAATGAATCAAAGTAAGGCTTTGGAGGGCTGGGCGGGGGGAGCAGAGAGTTAGACCGCTGGTAGTTAGGGCCTCTACCAAAGACAATGTGAAATCGCAGACAATGAAAGGTTAAGCAAATAATATTTTTCTACATCCCAACATCAATTATGTATAAAAATCTGAGGTCAGCTGCAAAGTATTTTCAGAGCCCATGGGGTTGAAATTCTGTAACAGCTGTTAAATATGACAAAACTTCGCACCACCACCACCACCACCCCCCTCCAAAAAAGAAAAAGTAAAGCTATTCCAAACTCTGTATGAAGGAAAATGGGATAAACAGATGTCTGGCTTCCACACAGGAAAGCAGGGCAGACTTGGAATGATGAGTCTCCCAAACTCCATAGACGAATGCCAGATTCACTGGGGAGGGGGCACTGCTTGCTGCAGAGATGCCAGCGAGCAGGGTGCCAGAGACGGTGCCATCTGGAACCGCCCCGCMAAGCCTGCTCCCCACGCTGCATGCGGCCCACCGTGTGGGCCAGCCGTGTGGGCAGCCACATTGCCCTGCTCCTGCGCCCCCCAGTCGGCTGCAACAGTTGGACCCTGCCCTCCCGCCCCCCCAGGCCAAGCAAGGAAGGGGAGGGTAAAGAGGATAAGCCTTCCTGGGCATTTCCAGAGCTCCCAAGGAAACAGACCGGGATGGCACAGGCGAATGATGTGGGCCCTAGTGTGGTTTTGGTTTAGCAGCTACGCCGACATCCTGTAATCATTTGCAGCCCTTGGAATGTACGGGTGAAACAGGAGAGATTTATCTGCTCATAGCTGGGATATGTGGACAATGGGTGTTCCTAATGAAGACCATCTGCTTTTGTGTTTTCCCAGAAAACATTATTCCATGAGGAAAATGATACTCCCACCCTTTCCAGCAATACCATAAAAATCCATGCATGTATATGTGCATGTGTATACTTACATGCATGCACAGGCACAYATGTGGGTGAATGCGCGAGGCCATGCATGGGTACAAGCATGCCCTCTCCTTCCTGCAGCGGGCTCTCTGCAGGTCAACACAATCCACATGGACACTGGTTCCTGAGTCATCTCTTTACGGACTGCACCTCTTCCTTTACAATGCCATGTTTCTCCTCTGCTCCATAAGTTGCTATATTATTTTAAATACACTGTAGTATAATTATATCCATGGAGCTATAAAAATTGTTTCTCTAGCCGTGTTTTATGGGGAAGAAAACAGTTAACATAAGCAAAACCTTCACAATAAATGAAAAGGGCTTTGGCATGGGAAACATCCTCACTGTTTCCCCCTTCTTTACTCTGAAGGGTCTTCCATGCCATTTATAAGTATTTAATGCTCCTGGAAGATAACTAGACTAAATTGTGTAATTAATTGATTTAAGGAATCAGGGTCTATAGCATGTGATCACCCTGCCAGAGCGGGGAGCACACACCTCTGTCCTCATAACACAGAAAAGCAGTCTCCACACGCAAAAGAGGCTTGGAGTGGGTTGGAACAAATGTGGGGCCATTGATCTCAATTCAGGTTGGAATTATTGGTTTATATCCTCAGGACAAATATGCCTTATCTGGTCAGGACCTGCTAAATGTATCCAAAGGCCACAAGGAGCCAGCGAAGCGCATTGTATATAATTCTTTTTTAAGCCAACTAACCAAGTGACGACACGGCTGGTGGAGACCTGTAATCTGACTCACCAATCTGATGGGACATTTTATTCTGCAATACTCAAGAGGAAACACAGGCTAGAAACTCAACATAAGCAACTAATTTTCAGAGGCAACACACGCCCCACAGAAATGACTGTCATTATGAAATCGAAACGCATCTCAGTTGTGAAAGACCACATCGCTCCAAAGAGATTCCCCTCCTATAGGTGTTTTTCTTCCTCTGATTAACACAACTTGCCCTAGTGAACACTAAATTCATTTTTTCTCCTAGAAATATGCCTTAAGCTGGAGACAGTGCCAATGCCACAATCGTTTCACAGAGGTTTCAGCAAGCAGCAAAATGCTGATAGTATTTTGTCGTTGTAAATGACAGCTCTCTTAAGAATGTTAAAAATGTACACTGTCTTTGTCATTACATAAAACTATTCTTATCTTAAAAATCCCTAACATGGAAGGTGATTAAAAATCCTATAAAATTGTCATATCTTTGAATTTAGAAGCAGAGCAGATTTTCCATCAATAATTAAGACCTCCAAAGCATTTATGCCAAACATAAATGGAGCTTCAATCCTCCTTATTCAAATAAACATGGTAAACCCATTAACCAAATGTTTTTACATTTTTCCCCTCCTCTCATGCTTCTAGAATATCAAATGATCACACACTTCTCTTAGGCTACAGAGGTATGAGTAACCTCAGCACATACTCTAATTAACCAGATATAAGAGAGCATTCCCTCAGACACGAAGAATAAATTTTGTATATCTGGAGGAGACACTTCCCATCATGTGATAAAAACTGAGTTCGGAGAGTTACTCAGTATCAATCAGTCAACAAATGATTGAATGTTGCATAAATCCAAAATGATCTTGGAGGGAAAACATAGCATCCAAAATGTGAGTCGAATCCACACGGCCACTTCATTATTACAGCATGCTAAAAGTCTCATGACGTAAAAACAAATCATCTTTTCAAATTTATAAATCCCACTCAGAAGATGAAACACTTTCACAATCCTGCAAAGCTAACATGTGCTGCCTTTCCAAGCATCTTCTACTCACACAAGACTCCCACAGCTACTCAAACCCGTTAGCCAATCCAAAAAAATAAAATCAGTTCAGTCACAAGACAACCACCTAAGGCTGTATGATTTCCATAGCCACAACACTGACGACAAATGTGATTACATTGATTTTAGTAGTTTGAGTTCTATAAAGTGTTGAACTTGTTCTCAACTGCCTGAGTGACGGCCACAACTGGCCCACCCTATTTGATTACTAATAAGAGAGCTGTCCCTTCTGTCAGATACCCAACACTCTCCACTAAGCAAACCGGGATTTCAGCTAGTTAAACATTAGCATTGCTCTCCA